ATATAAAACGGTGACGATCTTCCCCCACCAACCTCTGCTTGGAGAGTAATACTAGGGGTCGTTCCATAAAAATGTAAGGACCAGTCCGTCCAATTTCACGCGGATTTCACGGCCTATAGGCAGCTGGCTTTAGCCTCTAGCCAGAGGACTTGAATTGTAGCCTGGATATCGATGGCCAGACTATTTCGATGACCTACACAGGTCAGCTCTAACCTAAAATCTCTTGGCGGGGAGCAAATGTTTGACATATCCTGACATTTTCATGGATGGGGAGCTCGGGGTTTGATATACTTTCGATTTTCTTGATAAGTTATAACAAGGAGCTTCCATCCGTAACTAAATCACAGTAAATGGCAACTTGTCAGCTACTATGTGCAGTTCATTTACTTCTCGTAGAATGGCGCTGCTACAGGGTCTTCATACACTGCGAAGCCTCTTGACCAACATACAGACCAGCCTGGTGCCAGAACAATCAGCCTTATTCATCGTTTGGTACCTCCTTATACACATACTATTCAAAGCTTAAGACACTGCACAGTCCAAGTAGAGAAATGTGCTACTTAAGGTGCTGATAATTAAAGTAATAAAACTCATAACTTGTCGAGCTTGACAATTTTTATTTGGTCATAGAATATGGATAAACTCTGCACAAAAATTGTTTTCAAATTCAGTATAATATGGCTAACTACAGAGTACAGACACATATATACAACATTCCTGTTCCATCTGTTCACAAATATAAAACTTTCAATAAAACTCTTTGGAAAAGACTGAACATGCTTGAAAATGCTGGCTTCCAGGCAATTGAAGCAAGGACTACTAGTATATATAAATGTCCTTGATTGAAGACACTCCTGAGGTAAAAATAGTTTTGGGGTTGTTCCACAAGTTATCCTGACAGGGGGTGATGGGACAGGGATTGTTCAAATGTCATGTTAGGAGGGTGGTATCACTCTCTCTTTTTAAAGCCCATAAATCTATGATATCAATTGAAGCTATTCAATGTTCTACTGAAGTTCGTTTAAAATAATTGTCTGTATGAAGCTCACGAATTTGCATGTGTGAAAACATGTATGTGGTAAAATGAAAATTCAAACTCTAATAGCAACTGGAGCAGAAAAAAGTGAAGAAAAGTAGCTCTAAACTTCTCAAGTCTAAAAAGATGTAATGAAACTATGAGCAAAGTAAAGCAATGAAAAATCCAAATTGCAAACTGAAAAAAGTAAGTAGGTACAAATGTACATAAGTTAAAAGATTCACTCTGTCATTCTCTATATATTAAAAACTAAAGCATCTTATAAAATGAGTGAAAAACAGTTCATGAAGCATTGCAGCTATTATCATCTATCATGTCATGTATTTCAAAAAGAAGCAACATTCATGCAAAATTGTTACTAAAAGCTAATAAAAGGCAACATGAAGATAGAGACCTTTTAATTTCCCAACCAAAGTCAGGTACCTTTTTACCCCAAATGAGTGAAGTGAGGAAAGTTGTGTAAGGCTCCTTTCCCAAGGACACGGTGTCTAGCCAGGAATGCATGGATTCAAACCCGTGCTCTCTCAATCCTGTGTCCGTTAGACTAGACACTCGGCCATTTCACACCACTTTCAGAGCAAATAAAAATGTAAATGTTATTAGAACAATTTGACTTGGGTGACACAGTTAAATTGTTAGACTGTTCAACGCTTTCTTGTTTCCACAGGGCATGTTTATACCTTAAGTTTTATCCATTTTTGTCTTTCTTATATGTGTGATAGTTTCTGTATAACTATCTTCATGAACACTCATTGGTTGGGATATGGATTTACGGGAAAACAACTATAGCAGCATTACTGGCACCAATCTCATTAGAAAACAGTAGCACCAAACTTGACAGACTTTCTTAGGTAATGGCTACAGTGTACATGCCTGTCCCTTGTTATCAAACTACTGTTACAGTACAGATCCTTCGTGTCTGTGTACACACCTGAATGTTCAGAACAGCTAGGTTTCCCTCTTTACCACTCATCGATCTGACTTCAAGCTGAAAAAGGTAAAAAAAAAAAACTAAAACTTAAAACTTTCAAAACACAGCTTGACAAGCTTGACCTGTGCATCATACATGAAAGTGAACATTGCACACTCTAACAAAAGTACAAAACAAAATACAAATGTAACTGACATTAGTATTGGGGTACATGTTAGTGTTTTCCTGCAGTGGAATGTCATTGCCAACTAGCAACATAAACAATTCATGGCCAGCATGCCAAGTAGTGTTGAAGGCAATTCTTTGCAATATTTACATCAGTGTTCAACCCTTTAATACCATTCTCCCTGCATGCTGTATAACTCTGTAACCAGTATTGGTGTCAAAAGGCTACTTCAGCTGGGGCAGGGACAGGTTAATTAGTGCATAACAGAGACAATGCAATCATTCTTGGAGATACACACATTCACAAATCCACATGCAGTTGAACAATTTAAGTTTTGCTGTTACAAATTTTTTATCATTCTGTCCTTGTTTTACAAATTACAAACAACATTGCAACTTACTGTACATATCCTACTGTGTCTGCTATGGGCACATCAATGCATCCCAATGGATACTCAGGGACATCAATGGCTTTGATAGCATAAATTATGTTGAGTCTAGCAGCAGTGGCATTCGCAGGCTTCATACTGAAAGGTCCCTCACTATTGGGCCACACCAAATCAATTCCTCGCTCCTCATATTTGTGTGGAGTAAGTCGGGCCAATAGACATACAGTAGACAACCTGTGTGCAGGTTCTCGAAAACACTTTCTTTACTGTAAATTGTGAAATTCCTTTTAGGATAATACGTGTTTCCAACTACATATGAATATATAACATACATAATGTCAGTGGCACTTCAAAAACTGATTTTTAAAAAGAGATTAAAAAGGTGTGGCCTGTGTTTGAAACCTTGCATAATACTGGCAAGCAGCAGTCACGGATAGTCATTGTTCCAGCATGCAGTGTTACTTTGAGCGCCTCCTGGCAGAACGACTTACAACTGCATGTGTCTCCAGATGTACTCGTTGTCCATGATCTCGTCCAGTTGCCTCTCCAGTTTCTCTGCCAGCGTGGACTTGGGAACGTTCCTCAGGATGAACTGCAGGGTTAACTGATACAGGATGGACTCCTTGTTTTCTGGTTTGCACACGTTCAGATGATTCACATCCACCTGGTGGAACTCTCCAAAACCTGGATCTGAGGGAACAACCAAATGTCAGGATCTAACACTGCTGCATGTACACGATACGTACTTTATGACGTTCTTGATACATATAAACATAACCAATGCTGGTCTTGCATTTTGGGTTGGTGACTTAGAATCTAAAGGTTCTGGGTTTCAATCCCCA